GTTTTAGTGGTGGTGAGAAACTATTTTCGATTTGTCAAGAAAGAAGGTGCGATTGAGTTGTCGAGAAAACAAATAAAGCAATGACTGGAAAGTGATGTTACCTCGGTGTTACCTATACTATTCATCGTCCGTTGTGAGACGGAAATTTACGAGAAGTAGAGTCATAGCGTATGGGATAGTTGATGTATAGCAGATGGACTTGGCGGATTTGCCACTTGAAATGACATATGTAAAGGTAGCAATAGGAAAATGATTAGACGTTATAATTTTGACAAGACACTGTAATTCGTGTCTTCGCGTAACGTCTCTTTCAATTATGCGATTATTTTACCTACTTGAGACAATGATCAGCAGTCTGATTTTTTTTATAAGCAGTTGACACGAATTAGTTCTCTCTTTTATTAGAAATGTAAACAAATAATGATCAACCTTTTTGCAATTTTATTTATGCTATGGCGTCATTGGTTTTCTTGAGACAAGTACATGTATTTGTCTCTTGTAATGTCTATTCAGTGTAGACACAAAGCGCGTATTGATACCAAAAAGAAGAAAAAAAAGCGATAACAATTACCAATTGAGAACAAATACAGGTTATAACAGGTTATGGAATCGCTAACTGCAAATGATTTTTTTTTTTAAACAGAAACATAAATAATGTGTACGACAAAACGGCAGAGTAATTTTAAGTCTATAGACGTTATGATATTCGTATGACATACTTATATTTAATTACGTCTTGCTTTACGTTCTGCCTTATAAAGAACTTTCAAACTATGGAAACTTGTGAACCCACAGTTGATTGATTTATTATTAAATCGTTGACCACTATCTTTTGGACAAAACAAAATCAATTTCACAAACCAATAAGTTTTTGTTTTCACTTTGAAAAATTGATGCAAAAAAAAAAGTGTTAACGCCTGTTCGCTTTTTTTTTTAAATTTGTTTTAAAAATTTTGTTTTAACTTTTTTTCAAGACGTTATTTATTTTTCTTTAAAAAAAAAGTGTTATGACTTTTTCTTTATAAGATTGTTTTGCACGAGTCGATCATTCTCCCCCTCCCCCTTTGAAGTCTTGATGTAGAACAAAAAAAAAAAAGCATTAGCGCCTGACTTGATGTACAAAGAGCATTAGCGCCTTTACACCTTCTTAATTTTTTTTCTTTAAACAAAAAAACTTTCTGTCATTACGTTTTAAAAAGTTTCATAATATATATATATATTTTTTTGTTTTTGTTTTTGTAGATCATTTTGCACGAACCGATCATATTTTTTTTTCCACTTTGAAGACGTGATTCTTTAAAGGCGTTATTTCTTTTTCTTTAAAAAAGATGTATAACTTTATTTTTAAAAGATAATTTTGCACGAATCGATCTTTTTTTCCACTTTGAAGACTTAATGCAAAAAAGTGTTAACGCCTGTACGCTTTTTTAAAATTTAGTTTTAACATTTTTGTTTTGTTTTAACTTTCTGTCAAGATTCTATTTTTTTTCTTTAAGTGTTATAACTTTTTCTTTATAAGATTATTTTGCAGGAGTCGATCATTTTTTTTCTCCCCCCCCCCCCTTTGAAGACTTGATGTACAAAAAGCATTTTTTTGTTGTTGATCATTTTGCACGAACCGATCATTTTTTTTTCCACTTTGATTCTCTGAAGACGTTATTTCTTTTTCTTTGAAATAGATTTTATACCTTTTTTTTTTTTTTTTTTTTTTTTTTTTTAAGATCATTTTTGCACCAACCGATCTTTTTTTTTCCTACCACTTTGAAGACAAGATGCAAAAAAAAAAAAAAAAAAAAAAGTGTTAACGCCTGTAGACTTTTTTTTATTTGTTTTAAATTGTTTTGATTTAACTTTCTGTCAAGACGTTATTTCTTTTTCTTTATAAGATTATTTTGCAAAACTCGATCATTCCCCCACCCCTTTGAAGAGTTGATGTACAAAAAAAAAAGCATTAACGTCTGTACACTTTCTTTCTTTTTCTTTTTTAAAACTTTCTTTCATTACGTTATTTTTTTTTCTTTAACATTTTGTATAATTTGTTGGATCATTTTGTACGATTCGATATGTTTAACCCCATTTCAAGACTTGATGCAAAAAGTATAAATACCTGTACATTTTCTTACTTTATTTTTATATTTTACTTTCCGTCAAGAAGTTATTCCTTGTTTCTATACAGACCCGACATGATTTTTTCTCTCGTAATAATGTACAAGTTCCGACAAGATTGAGAGCTACTTTTATATGTATGCATGTTTAAGAAACGAATTGTATATATTTTTATTTTATTTTTTATTTTTATTTATTTTTTGTCATTTTTTTTTTAATAGCCAGGACGGCCCTTTTAATATCGAATAATGATCTTCGAAGGGGGCCCCGTCTTTATAGTTCAAATGCATTTATAATGAAAAAACATATTATATAAATTATAATACAATAGAAACAAGAATAAAGTACAACAATATTCAAAACTAAGATTTAGAACAATGACACAGCATAACTCAAAAAAAAAAACAGGTTTACAAAATATGACAATACAGTCATACAATATCAATATAAATATGAATCAAAAGACAGAAATCGTTTCTCAGAGGGCATTCACAATACTTATCTGTTCATATTACATCTTCAATGATAATAAAGATAATATACTTGTACGTAATTCAGGCGATAGGGTGCTCCACATGAGTGAACCTTAGTAGGTCTTGTGATTAAGAGTAGGGAATGTTCCGCATGTCTCGTATAAATGAACATTGGTACAGAATTCTCGGAATAATAATTGTTTTCAGCTCCAAAGGTATACAAAAATTGGTGTGTGGATTGTATGCATATTATAGATAAAATGTGGTACTCCATTCTTCGACAAACCGATTGCCAAGAAATTTCAGATAACATAAAAAACATGAGGTGTAGAAATCTGCGTTCAATACAAGTCTTGCATAGTAGAATGCGTTGAGATGTAGAAGCATCTCGCCTAGCGAGATGCGTCTTCGTGATTTTACGGAGACACATCTCAACGCATTCTACTATGCAAGACTTGTATTGAACGCAGATTTCTACACCTCATGTTTTTTATGTTAAAAAAAAAAAAAAAAAAAAAAAGGTATAAAATCTATTTCAAAGAAAAAGAAATAACGTCTTGAGAGAATCAAAGTGGAAAAAAAAAATGATCGGTTCGTGCAAAATGATCAAAAAAAAAAAATGCTTTTTGTACATCAAGTCTTCAAAGGGGGGGGGGGGGGAGAAAAAAAAATGATCGACTCCTGCAAAATAATCTTATAAAGAAAAAGTTATAACACTTAAAGAAAAAAAAAAGCATCTTGACAGAAAGTTAAAACAAAACAAAAATGTTAAAACAAAATTTTAAAAAAGCGTACAGGCGTTAACACTTTTTTGCATTAGGTCTTCAAAGTGGAAAAAAAGATCGATTCGTGCAAAATTATCTTTTAAAGAAAAAGTTATACATCTTTTTTAAAGAAAAAGAAATAACGCCTTTAAAGAATCACGTCTTCAAAGTGGAAAAAAAAATATGATCGGTTCATGCAAAATGATCTACAAAAACAAAAACAAAAAAAATATATATATATATTATGAAACTTTTTAAAACGTAATGACAGAAAGTTTTTTTGTTTAAAGAAAAAAAATTAAGAAGGTGTAAAGGCGCTAATGCTCTTTGTACATCAAGTCAGGCGCTAATGCTTTTTTTTTTTTGTTCTACATCAAGACTTCAAAGGGGGAGGGGGAGAATGATCGACTCGTGCAAAACAATCTTATAAAGAAAAAGTCATAACACTTTTTTTTTAAAGAAAAATAAATAACGTCTTGAAAAAAAGTTAAAACAAAATTTTTAAAACAAATTTAAAAAAAAAAGCGAACAGGCGTTAACACTTTTTTTTTTGCATCAATTTTTCAAAGTGAAAACAAAAACTTATTGGTTTGTGAAATTGATTTTGTTTTGTCCAAAAGATAGTGGTCAACGATTTAATAATAAATCAATCAACTGTGGGTTCACAAGTTTCCATAGTTTGAAAGTTCTTTATAAGGCAGAACGTAAAGCAAGACGTAATTAAATATAAGTATGTCATACGAATATCATAACGTCTATAGACTTAAAATTACTCTGCCGTTTTGTCGTACACATTATTTATGTTTCTGTTTAAAAAAAAAAATCATTTGCAGTTAGCGATTCCATAACCTGTTATAACCTGTATTTGTTCTCAATTGGTAATTGTTATCGCTTTTTTTTCTTCTTTTTGGTATCAATACGCGCTTTGTGTCTACACTGAATAGACATTACAAGAGACAAATACATGTACTTGTCTCAAGAAAACCAATGACGCCATAGCATAAATAAAATTGCAAAAAGGTTGATCATTATTTGTTTACATTTCTAATAAAAGAGAGAACTAATTCGTGTCAACTGCTTATAAAAAAAAATCAGACTGCTGATCATTGTCTCAAGTAGGTAAAATAATCGCATAATTGAAAGAGACGTTACGCGAAGACACGAATTACAGTGTCTTGTCAAAATTATAACGTCTAATCATTTTCCTATTGCTACCTTTACATATGTCATTTCAAGTGGCAAATCCGCCAAGTCCATCTGCTATACATCAACTATCCCATACGCTATGACTCTACTTCTCGTAAATTTCCGTCTCACAACGGACGATGAATAGTATAGGTAACACCGAGGTAACATCACTTTCCAGTCATTGCTTTATTTGTTTTCTCGACAACTCAATCGCACCTTCTTTCTTGACAAATCGAAAATAGTTTCTCACCACCACTAAAACCAGTTTCATGCTTCGTATGAGTATATCTTTCCCACGTATTCTTCCAATACCCAATCGTCACGTCCACGTGCACATCACTAATGACATTCAGCATACACTTCAATCTGGTTGCAAGCGGGAAAACTATTTGCACGAAAATATGAGAATGCAACAAAAGTAATGTTCTATTTTTTTTCATTCGCAAACATCATTGCTACTTTTATTTAACCTATACATTATAAAGAATTTTTGTTTAAAAAACAAACAACGTGGATACATTACTTCAAAAGGGTAAACGAAATCCACTTTTTAAAATTTCCGGTTAAAGCTCCTTTAGTTTGCTCATGATGATTGACAAAACGTCCTTCTTTTTCAGTTCGTTGTGAACAAATGTGTGGCTCCTTCCATGCACGCAAGCGTCCAACTCCTCCTCAAACATTTTATTCACGATTACGATGTAAACCAATTTAACGATGCAAAAGTATCGTTCCTCGGTGAGCTTGGTGATGGCCTCATCGAAATACTTGTCTGTCGTGTCTGACCACTCTAACCACATACAGTCCTCATGGTCTTTCTGGCTAGGATAGTTGAGTCTGCATCCTGTGCACGACTGATGCACCGCCTCGTTTATAAGACCCGAAAGTGCCTTGACGGCTATTACAGTGTAGGACAGGTGCTACAGGAAAATGTATGTCGTCTTTCGCCTCCATCGTCACCGTCTCCTGCAATCTGACATCTGTGTCTAGTCTGTCGTCCTTCTCTTCCTCCTCCTCCTCCGCAGCCACCTCCATCTCCTCGCTTTCTGCTAAGTTTCTGGAGACTTCTAAGGACCTTTTCAGGTACGTCTACTTCCATCTGACCCGAGGAGGATGATGGAGATGGAGGTCTGCTTGTTCCCCTTGGGGTAATCACTCCTTCTATGACTGCATTCTGCCTCCGCAGTTGGCGGACAACTGGGGGTCTCGATGGAGAATATCCGATAATCGCGACTTCTAGTGTGAGTGGTGGTGAAGGAGATAGCTGTCCATGTGCAGTGAGCAAGGATCTTGAAAGTTTTTGATTCATTTTCGGCGATTGTATCCTGGTCGCGGAAAAAGGGAGGAGCGTCAATCAGGTATTTTTTGAACTATCTACTTTTTTAAAATTTCTTTTTTTATTCTTCCTTTTTGTTTATATGTTGTATTATCAAAAAACCAAAACCGCAAACAAAAACATCAAGTTGTAAAACTATTTCTTCACGTTACTCAAATCTCTGACAGCATCGCTGATTTCAAATTTGGCCTCGACCAATTTCCACCAATTTTCTCCCGTTAAATTGATACCCTTCTGCCCCGGGAGCATCCTGTTAGTACCTTTCGTGTTGTAGTATTCTCGAATGTTCACGTATGGGACTCCCCTGAATTTCTTGACTACAGCAAAACGCTTCCCACCCAAATAAAATGGTTTCGAACCTGCTTCAAATTTACATTTTTCCACGTTAATTATCTCCTGACTAAAATGACACCCCGCCTCTTCCTTACCCGTAATCCAACTTTCACATTTTCTGTCACCTTGTGCCTATGATACAACAACAGAAAAAGAAGAAAAGAAGACAACACCATGAATATAATTGTTTTAAATCGAGTTTGTTGGAATGCATACGCATGCTTCACTTCTCTCACGCAGTTCACTTGCAATGCATCTATTAATGCAAAGATACTCTTATTTTCAAAGACAGTAAGGTATAGTATTAACATTTAAATTAAAGAGTATACATATAATATAATTCAATCAAATCAATTCAAAATGGTTTATTTCAAAGAAAACTTTCATCGCGGCGTTAAGCCGAATTACAAAAGTTTACAAACAAAATTAATAACACATAGCATAACATGATATATTGAATTTGTAAAACAAATCAGTATATTACTTGACTATGGACACTTACCCTCATTGCCAAGATTTCAGGAGGGGTTGCTGGTTTGAGCTTCTTCTGCTCCACCGGAGACATTGAAAAACTGGCCCGATGTAAGACATTGGTGGCGTTGTTCTCTGGTATCTTGACCTTAGGCGTGTTTAACACAGTGTTGTGGATGGTGGCTGTTGTAGTGGTAGACTTTTTCGGTGAGCGAGTGGCCATCATGGTTATATATGAAGAGTTAGACCTACGTGTGGTATATGCTATAGAGATGCTTTCAAAGAACGAATTGTAGCTCAGTGCTGAATGTGATACGTTATCTCAACACCACCCTGGTGTATATTTAGTCTCTTCACTACACGTCTCAATGCACTCCTTTAATTAGTTGCCCAATCACCACCAAGCATGGGTCTTCTTTCACCAATCAAAAGCAAGACGATTAATTGAAATCATCCATTCGCAGCGTCTGAAAACTTCCGCTCTTCTGACAATCAAAGAGGAAAAAATTGCTAATTCAAGATGGAAATGGGGGAAGGAGCTCTTAATTAGTCTATTGTTCTTTTAATTAATGCTAATTAGCTATGAATGGCTCATGCATGATTCACTAATTTAGCGCTGATGTCTATGATATAAAATGGTGCGAATCCTCCGACGTTTATACCTTACCTCACCCCTTAGGTTACGCCCTCTCAGTCACCCCTTCCTTTTTCCCTCATCCAATCACAAGCAAGCACAATGGTGACGTCACTCCAACAAGAAGGATCCTCGCATTCTCATTGCTCGGATACGTACCTGCGTACAAACAACATAACTGGCACAGGCCCATTGTTTTGGTCATTTGGTCATTGCCGTCCTACCAGTAACACGTCCATCCCCAGACCTCTCCCATGATGATGACTCATGATGTAAACACTTCCTCCAGAGGAAAGACCCTCATAATTCAAGTTTTATGACCCAGATGCCCCCCTTTCCATGAAAAAACTACCTGCATTAATTCACACACATCCTGACAGGAAATACCTGCATTAATTAACACACTTCCTGACCGGAAATACCTCGTTAAATTTCATTTCCTCTTCCCTATTGTTTTATGGAAGTCATTAAAAAGGATTAAGGATTAAAAGGGATTAATACCCCCCGGATTAAAAACTCCCTCAAAGGCCCTATACTGCTGCTCGCCTTATTCATGAGTCCAAATCTATAACTTGTTGTGATGACAAACCCTCCTAATTACTTCTTAACTTCAAATCTAGTAGTCCACTATCTCTTACATGAATTAAGATATTCTATGGCATGTAGCAGCAAGGATCTTCAAAGACTTATTTAAAGCTCTTTGGTAGCTATAAAATAAAAGTCCTCTCCTCATTCCCTCTGTTGCTCCCGAGCTTGTGGCCTGTGCAATCTAGCAAATATCCCTCTGACTTGGAATTCCCAGGATTATTTAAAAAGGCAATTTGCAAGCATCGAAAGACTTTTCTGATGTTAGATTGTTACTTGGACATTAGGCCTGTCCTCATCAGCTCGAGATTGCCAAATATCCCGCTATTTTAACTATCCCAATCGCAAATTATCCAGTTAATTTGCGTCTTCATCAGCCCAAAGTTGCAATTAGCGGGATATTTGGTCGAGATGATCATTCCTAGATATCTTGGGCTAGTTAGCAAAATATCCCCCTATTTGACTGGTGCATCTTCACCAGCCCGAAGACTTGCACTATGCGCAAACACTGAGCAAAATATCTTGAGCTAATTTCTGGAGCTCGAGTTTCAAGTTTCGAGGTTGAGTCTCGAGCTGATGCAGACGCGATTTGTAACTTTGGGATTATTTCCCAAATCAGATATAGCGGGCTATTTGGCAATCTCCAGATGATGAAGACGCGCCTTCTGATTTTAAATTCCCAGGATATTTTAAAAGGGCAATTTGCAAGCATCAAAAGACCCTTTTTGATGAAAGATTGTTGCTTGGACATGGATAAGAGGAGGAGTGTATGTGGACTACAGCTAATATCCAAACATTTTCATTCCAAGAGTAGATAGATATGCAGTGGTATTTGCGGTATTTTCAGTTGAGGATACCATCTATTCCATTCTAGTTACTGATAGGCCATAGCGTGTGTATTATACCTTGCATTTGTGCGGTTTCCCTGAATAAATTCTGACAGATAGGACATATGGTGAAAGCATCTGCTAGTCTACGATTACAGCTCACTTTCCTGTGCATTCAACTCAAGGTAGATCTTTGAAAGTCAAGTCAATGCCAGTATCTGTTAGTATCTTATGCACTTTAAAGTGACTCGGTTGATGGGTTGATGAGTTGATGAACAAACTGCATAATTTTTGTATTAAATGTAACTTATTATAATCCTTTTACTGTACTAACCCTCTAAAATGCAAAATATCCTGAAATAAATCCTCAAACCACAAAGATATTTATGGTTTTCTTAGAAGGCATCACTGTGCAACACCCTCTAACAATAATTTCTCCTAACCATTTTTGAATGTTCCCAACCGTTTTCCCATGAAAATAAGACATTAGACAGGCTTTAAAAAGTATCTGGAATGGTGTACATGTATATGGAGCCAATTCATTGCTTTGTGGCGATTAACATCCACCTAAAATGTAATTAAATTGTAATAATATAGTTGGGAGAATTTAGAAATTGATCAGATTAGTTTTCCCCAATTTGTATCTTTAATAGTGGTTTGTTTTCTCTCAAACTTTCAGATTATCTTGAATTGTACATTTAGCATTGAAGCCACTACCTTAGCACCATTTTCTCTCATCTGAACAATGTTGTCAAGTACCTTTAATGGTGAGGGAAGTCCTAATTTGTGATTAGTGTGCATAACATTATTTTGAGAGCCAGAAGGGCAATATTCACTATATATTTTTGTTTACACAGACTTTAACGCCCTTCTGGCTCTCAACAGATGTACACATTTTGATCAAACATCAGTTTTTGTGTGCATGATAATGAATGCTGATAAGCTTGGAAGTCCTATTGAAGTACCATATTTTCATCCAATGTTAACTTTGCCCCAACTATTAAAAAAAAAAAAAATTAAACATGAAATAATCAATTTGATTTAGCAAATTTTGTTGCCGACTATACTGCACTTCCATTCAATCATGATGTTCATTACTACCCATTGAGTAATTTAACGTAAATGCAGGTATTAAAATGTACAAGAATTAAGTTACAAAGTTTCTCAAAATCATTGTGAACCGTTCTACAGTTAATCTAATAATTTCTGTACAACTGGATTGTGCATGTATCAAAATGCTTTTCACTAGTCTAAGCCATGTGCTTGTAATGTAATACCAGGTATGTAGTATGGAAATATAGAAGAGATTTTTCCCTCTCCTTCTCTTTCTCTCTCTCTCTCTCTCTTTCTCTCTCTCTCTCTCTCTCTCTCTCTCTCCCTCCCTCTCCCTCTATCTCCCGTGATACTTTGTGGTGTGTGACAGAGTCATGATTTACAAACATGACGTCAAATTTCAGTGGTGGGCGGGTGTACCTGCACACAATTGAGTAACTGTTGATGTGGTTTTAGGATGAAAATAGCTGAAATTCTTCAATTTTCTTTGTAGGAATGACTAAGCCAAGATGTTTTTAACAGTTTTAGGAGCTGTCAGAAGTGTAATGGAAGAAAGACGATAAAAGTCTGATTTATTGGTTCGGATCAAATTTATCCCTAGAAAAAGTAGAATCAATTACAAATCTTTTGAGAGCAAGCAGGGCATAAATTAATTTTCACCTATAATGTCAAAGTAACTTACCCTGAACTAAAAAATTGTGCATTAGTGTACAAATATTTCATGCATATTAGTGAAATAGTGACACTGTTTCACCAAAAAAAAAAAATTGCAGTTAAATTGATGATTTCTTGGTAATAACTTTAGAATGGTCTAAAACCAATTTCACTCAGCTTCAAATAATTCAAAATTTCTCCTCAAATATCTCCTCAAATATACCAATTGCAGTATTTCAGATCCGTTGTTGGCATGTTAAAAAAAAAAGGCAATAAAAAGCAATGCATTCTGTATCAAAGTATATTTCAGACACACTTTCACTACCATTATGTACTATGATGGTGTAAAAGAACATTTGGAAGCAGCAATCAATTTGAGAAATGAAAAGTGCAGTCTCTTGGGTAGCTAGAAGAATAGGGAAGATATGCTCAATACTGCAATCATGCAGGTATAGAACACTTCCTTTTGTAATGCACTACAGAAATAGAATGTTTTTCACTTGGATACCGGAAGGGACAGATACTTTAGAATGTGTCAAGTTCTGACATTTCTTGGTGGTTTTTCCTCTAATGTGCATGCGTTTCTCTCTTTGTCATGACGTAGTAGAGGAGATGGAATGATATTTGTCATGTTGCAGGATTCCATGGAAGATTTGTAATTGGTAGCAATGGATTTGAGATGCTACACCAAACCCCTTCGAAAAATAAACATAGTGTCCTTCCCCTTCCTGTATCATACAACACACAATAAAATTAGTATACTTTGGACCAGTGTTGGTCACAAATCATTTTTTTTAGCAGCTCCTTTTTTTGCCACTCATTCACATGTCAACGAAAAGAAAGAACAAAAACAAACAACATCAACAACCAAGAGAGACCCAGTGTGGTTTACTGCATCATACATTATGTGAACGAGCCTTAAAACGTGGGAGAGAGCTTGAGTGTGAAGGAAGTTTCTGGTCCAAAGTTGTTTCATATCTTAGCCGGATAGTGAGGGTTTAATGTTACCTATACAGATATATTTAAATAGGTTGAATTTTTGTCTGAACTTAATTTTATGCTTTAGAAACATCAAAACATAAGTGCATTTGATTTACCAGGTCTTTTTATAGTAGTAGTTACTTTTGTTTATTTATTCATTTACTCAAATTCTTGATTTTATTCATTAATTTAAAGTTTTAAACTTTTTTCTTCCTTGCAGGATCTTCAGTTTATCACAATCTCTCTTTGAGAATATTTCACTTTTCATCCTGACTTGTGAAATATGCTCATCAGCTTGTGGAACATACCCTTTTTTAATGTTTTTTTTTATCCCACTCAATATTATATAATTTCTCTTTCCACAGCTCCAAAACTGTCCACAGAGTTATTTTATTGAGAAATATTTCATAAAAATTCCACCTGACACTTTAGTTACAGTAAACAATACCGTCTGCTTTAAAGCCAGAAGGGCACTAAGTACTAGTGCTTTATATAGAGTTAACACCCTTCTCGTAATCAACAAAAGATATCGCGTATTGAGTTTTTTAGCGTCCTCGTGGCTCTCAAGAGATGATTATATTCATGACCTGGGACCTGTTTCACAAAATCTTTTTTCATGATAAATGACAAAAATCA